AACAGACACACCTAAAGTTGATCACTGCAAACTTGAGAAGCTAAACATATATAAAACATGGAGGCCATGTTCAAGAGACTGGAATGGTAAAGCAAGACAGACTGCCCAAATACCAGTGGCCAATGGGAGTCAACGTGTCTCATGCCACTGGTCAAGGCCGGGCTGGACAGGAAGGCAGGTAGCAAGACCCACCATCTAAGAGACCAGCCAGGAGCCCAAAACTACCTCTCCTGGCCTCAGGGTGCTCACACTTAGGATGAGGCTAACTATACCCATGCAGCTGGGGTCGGGATATTCCTAGCTAGGGGCAGCCAGGCTCAGACAGGAGACTGTAAGCAGAAAGGCTCCAGCCAGACAGGCCCAAACTCCACTCCTCTTGCTCAACCACAGGATGCCAGGGCAGGGGCTCAGAGCAAAGCTCCGGACCCCAGCTCAGCCTCGAACTCCACAACAAGCTCGGGATTATGCTGGCGCCTCCCTCGGTTCTGTGTGCTCACCTGCAGACAGATGGACCACAGTTGCCACTACAAGACAAACACAGCATGTCATGCAGCGCACAGCTGAGACCACACAGCCACCCCCTGTACGGACTGAACACCTGCTGCCCACTGGCTATTGCCACGGGCCCCAGAGGCACAGCTGTGGGACAACAGGACCAAACCCCTGAACTCGTTTATAGCCCGAGACAATAGAGAAAACAGAAAAATAAAACACTCGAGGCAGATGGCTCTGAGTTCTATAGAGAGAAAGCAGTGGAGGCGGGGGGGGGGGGGGGGGGGGCAGCATGGCTTTGTGGCTGCGATGGGGGGCGGGCTGCAGGGAAGAAGTGGCATTTGGGGCAGCACATGAATGTGGAAAGGAAAGAGTCATGTACAGATCTGGGAAGGAGTGGTCCAGACAGGGAATGGCACATGCGTGGGCCCTGGTGGAGGTAGGACAGGCCTGGCCCGTTGAAAGCATGGCAAGGAAGGCAGGGAGAGAAGCAGAAGCATGAGCGTGCCGTGAGCGAGGCCAGATTGGAACCACTGAAGGGCTGCCACCCACAGCAGGTCAAGCACACAGTAGGTACTCAAGCAACACGGCCTGCCACTCATACCTTTTACTGTTTACCCTCTAGCCATCTCCAAGTCTGAGTTCTTCAAGGAGATCAGGCCTCAGGTAGGGAGTAGAGAGGACCCTTCAGCTGCCCAAAGCCCGGAGGGGATATTAGGGAGCTTCCAAGCCAAACCCACAAGGCTACCCCCACCAACTCAAGAAGCAGCCGATACTCAGCAAGAGTAAAACCGCTCCTGGGGCACCCGAAACAGGCATTCCTACGTCTGCCAGCCAGGCTTGTGTCTGGTATTATAGACCTAAAGGTTAATGGGGGTGCAGGGCCAGGGTCTCCTAGGTCCCCAGAGCCTCATCTTGCCTCTGTAGTCACCTCGGTAGCCAAGCAGGACAACTTGAGCTTTAGGATATCACGGTGGGTGAGAATGGGCATAAAGACCAGGCCAGAGGAGGAGGCCAGCCTCTGAGGCCATGTCCATGGAAACCCACTTCTCTCTATCCAGTTTCCCATGTGGCCGAAGGAAGGCTGGGCTGCAGTGAGATTTCCAAGGCTTAGGCACCAAATGTTCACAGCTCTCCTTCATGGGGTCCCCTCTGAAGACTCCCGGTTTTGCTGAGCCTGCCCTGCTCTTAGAGGCACGTTCAAAGGCTCTCTTCCCTCCTCCATTCTGGGTAACCCAGGGCTTCTAGTCTTCAGTCTCACTTCATGGATGCAAAACTGAGGCCAGGAGAAGCCTGTGTGTTTCTTGCTCCACCAACCTCCCTAGCACCCCCATTTGCCCTCAAACCAAATCTTCCCTACACAAACTTTCTTATTGAACAGTCACTTACTGTCTCTGTATGCTAGACACTCCAGACCTCACACCCACTCGGGCTCACGCCACGTCACAAGAAGGCTCATTTACGGAATGCTAACTTTACGCCAGGCCTTCACTGGGTCCCAAAGAAGCGGCCTCCTGGGAGCCTGGAAGGCAGGCAGGCCCTAGAGCTTAGTGGAAACTGCCTGGGGGTGGAGGCCAGGCCAGCACACAAATGCCCCCAGAAAGACGTGTCTGCAAGCGGCAGGAAGTGCAGCCTGTCCCTAGGAGAGCCCGAGGCTCTGGGTCAGAAGCACACAGGCTGCCCAGAAGCTCCACAGCCTCCTGGCCTCCACTCCCATCCATATAATGGAGCCAATACAGCCCTCCGCACTGGCAGGCCATTAACAAATTAAATCAGCTGGTCCAGCTCTGGGCCCTCAGTTCCTTCCTGGGGCCAGTTCCTCTGGAAAAGCCTCATCATCACCACTCCTCTGAAGCATCAGCGGCCCTGTCTGAAGCCCAGTTCCAGGTAGTTCCCTTCATTCTTGCTTTCTCCACTGCCTTCCCTTGTTGCCTGTCCCCCTCACCCACTGCTCCCCAGCAACCCTCCCGAGGGGTGGGCTCAGCCTGCCCCTCCTGCTGTCTGGGAGCTGCCCCTTGTCTGCCTCTCCTCTGTGTCAGTCTCTGGCAGGGCTCCAATGCCAGACCAGAGGGGAGGGGCAAATGTGCCCATGTTTCACTCCCAGCAAAGCCCTGGCCAAGGCCCAGCCACAGGGACCAGCTGCATCTGTTGCAGGAAGGGTCTTGCCTAGAGCAGGAGTTAGGAGCAGAGGACTGAAAAGAACTATTTCTCAAGCCTTGCAGTATACCAGCAGACCCTGCCTGGGGGCTGGCAAGGACCACAGAGATTGCTGGGAGTGATGACGCAGTCACTTCCACCCTAGCTATGTGCCAAGGCCTTTGGGTGCCATGACTGGTCATGCCAACTATGGCCCCAAGCACTGGAGGCCTGGCTGAGCCAGAGGAAACTGTCTGCAGGCTGCACTGGCCTGTGTCGCAGAGCCTAGAGGGGCCACCATGACCAGTGTTGTTATTATTATCGCTGCCATTGTTAGTTCACTACTAGAGGGCCACTTAGTGCTACCTGGTCCTTCCTGGGGCAGAGCCTTGCCAGGGTAGTCCTGGCAGAAACGCCTTCTGATTTGAGAAAAACAAAACAAGCTTCTGCTTCGGCCTAACGTGTTGCATGGCTCTGGAAGCACCCGCTGTAAATACCTCTCCCAGTTCAGCACAGTCTCCTGAACCTCTCCTCTCCCCAGACACACACCTACAGGGGACCCTGCCTAGGGAGCATGGTGGCAGAGGACTCATCTACCACTCCACGGTGCCCACCCAACCCAGGAGAGAGGAGACTAGATAGGTAATCAAGGGCTTGAAGTTCACACATGCCAGGCCTGTGCCAACATTACATTTACAAGGGCTTTCTGCACGCACAGAGCAGTGTCCCAGTGAGGAAGATGGTCCTGCTCTGATGTCTAACACATCAGAACCACCCACCTTGTCCCCAAGGATGTCTGAGACTCTCCCCATTCCCACTATGCTGAGGCTGGTCCAGTGGGCCATACGCACACAGCCAGGCATTTATTCTCACACGTGACTCCGCCTATCCAGGGTCACCTGCTATGATAGCGAACTTTGTGTCCCCTGGCTAGTTGGAGATACCTCTTGAACACAGTGGATGATTTTACTGAGAAGTCTCTTTGGGGTCCCCCCTACAGGCCCTGGCGGGACTCTTGTGGGAATACAGAGGAATGGGTCTTCAAGGAGGAGCCTGGTACTCAGATCTGCCTCCCCAACCTGACTCTCTCCTGTCACATGGGCAGATTTTGGTGAGGGGGGTCTCAAATCAGCCACCTGGTGCAGCGCCAGGCTGGAGTCTTGTCAGGAGGGACAGCAGCCAGGGCAGGCTTTTGTTCATCTCTCAAAGAAGGTGTAAAGGCCGGGAGGCTAAGCCTTCTGGGTTCCCACCTTGGAGGAGGCGGCAGCTGATTTCAGTGGTATGTGGGCGCCTAGGCAAGCCGGAGAGCTGAAGTCGCCTAACCAGGGCTCAGGAGGCGGATGCGAGGGCCAGAAAGTCCCCAGATCTTTACTGCCGGCTTCAGGCTTGGGTACAGGTAGTGAGGAAGAACGAGAAAAGGCCAAAGACAGTACCACACTCTGGGAATTGACCGAATGGCAGCCTCAAATCCCACCAGGTCCACGCAGCAGGGAGGCGGAACCTCCCAGAACTAGAGGCCTTCACCGAAGAGACACTTTCCTCGGAGCTCCATTCCCAGCACCAGTTCTAAGGTATTCAGACGACATGTGCACAAACTAAGGCAGGGCCACTCTTAAGGGCCTCGGCTCTCCTAGAAGCTCTCTAGGGCTCTCCAACTCCAGCTGCCTCCTTCAAAGGGTCTAGTTCCCTACAGGACACCAGAACAGACCTGTGCGTCCAGGAGAGACACCTCTGCCCTGAGCCCCTGTCGGTTTCTCAAGACCGACATTAAGAAGCAAAAGATGCCCCTGGACTCGCAGGCTGACTGGATGGTGAAGAACCACATCCAGAGTATTTTCACTCCATGACAGCACAGGCGGTAGGAAAGAAATGACTCCAAGGATCCAGGTCTTAGCAGGGAGCATTCTCCGGTCGAGCCTGTGAACTCACTCCATACCCCATCTTGATCACAGGTCTCTCGGGTAAGGTCACGCCTAGGACCGATGCCGCGCGCAAAAGTGGCTCCGCCCTCTGCCTTGCAAGCCCCCTCAATCAAGCCGGCCGAGGAGGGGGATCGAGAGCTCCTCAAAGTTTCTGAGAGTGTCCCCCCCATCACCCCGCAACACACACACCCGGGGCAGAGGTTAGCCCGGAGCAAAGTTCCCTGGTGGCTATAGCCCGAAACATGGCAGTGGAAGAAAAGCTCGCTGTCAGCATTTCATCTGGTGGTTCACCACGGACCGGAGAGGAAAAAAAGAAAAGGAACGGAAGGAGCCCTTCTGCCTCACCTTTCCTGTTGCTGCACCACCCCGCGCTCACCCGGGGCGGGAAGCTGCCTGCTGGGAGCTGGGGCCGGGCGGGTGGGCCGTGTGCGCCCGCGGCAGCCTTCTTACCTCGGTCAGTGGCCGGGGCGCGGCGCGTCCCGCGTCCTCCAAGCTCCGCGCGGCCGTTCCCGGTCCCGGCCGCCGCTGCGCTGGCTGCATTGCCACCGTTGCCGCCGCCGCCTCAGCGCAGCCCCTGGGAGCTCTCCACGCCGAGGGGCGCGTCGCTCCCGGACGCCGGGCGCCACCAGCCAGCCATGGGTCGGGGGCGCACGCCCAGACGGCGCCCCCAGCCCCTCGGCGCTCGCTCCGGGCTCGCCACTGGCTTCTGTCGCTCAGTCCCGCGACAAGCACTGCCGACCCACCCCCTCCCCCGCCGCAGTTATCTGATCCCCGGGCAGGGCCGGGCGCGCTCCCCTGCACCGGGTGTGGGTGTCCTGCACCTCCCAGCGGGCTTCGACCGCACAGGGCCCCCTCCCCCGGCGACCGTTCCCAGGGAGGCGGTGGCAGCGCAGTCGCGGCGTGGCCGGGGGAAGACGGGGAACGAGGAATGGAGGGCGAGGAGGCGGCGGGAGGCAGAAGCTCTGCGCGCACCCAGCTCCGCGCCCCGCTGCCACAGTAGCCCAGCTCGGCAACTCCTCCAACTCTCCGCCAAAAGCACGCCCGCCCTGCGCCGCGGCGCCGCTGATCCCGCCCACCACCGCCCTGGTCTGGCCCGATGGCCCCTCCTGGCCCCAGCTGCCCCCCACACGCACCAGCCACTTGCGCACTGGGGCGCGCGCGCGAACACAAACGCGCGCACGCGCGTGGCACACACACACACACACACACACACACACACACACACACATCTTTTCGGGGACACGCGCACACACAGGTGCATGGCGCGCATATACTCAGACTACACACACAAGCAAGGGAATCTGGACCGGCTGCACACAGCAGGATGCCAAGCTCAGGCGTCACCTGCACAAAATCCATGTGATGAGGAGCACGGCGGCTAAGGTGCACAGGTGCACTCAGTTACATATGCACATGTGGAGTGGGATCAGTCGGCACATCCACACAGTCTGGCTTCTGAGCTCATGCATTCCCCTTGCACATCAAGCACAGGGTCATATGCACACCCCTCCCTCTTTAATATCATATCTCTTCTTTCCATCTTGGGTTGTATTTAGCTCTCATCTCTTGCTTTCTCCTCCATGCTCCTCCTCCAGGCCTCTCTGCTGATTTGATTCCATGTGACTCCCCTCCCCTTGCCCACTCTTGTCTGGAAGGCACCCCTGGTACTCTGCTCTCCCAGTCTCCGGAAGCCTATTGTCTGAGCCTTACATCTCTGCCTCCTGCAGGGCCTGGACCTTTCAGCCTGGCAAACAGATCACCCTAGCTGGCCTCAGGGAAATCCCATTTTATCACAGGGCTGACCCCCAGCTCAACCCTAAGGCTGAAAAATCGGGCCAAGAAGGCAGGTCTACAGCCAGAACACAAGCTTCACAAAACTCCCCAGCCCCTTGGTCTCCAGCTCCCCTCTAATGTGAAATATAATTATGCATCTGAATAGCAGAGACACTAGATGCAGGATCCTAGCCAAGAGGCATGGCTTTCTGGTCACCCAGATGCCCAGGCTCTGGCAGCTTATCCAGAGCTCGGCAGAACCCACCAGCCTAACTCCAGGGAGCCAACTCGTCATCCAGAGTCCCCAGAAAACTCTCCTGCCTCAGACTGTGCTTACTCCACCTCCTTTGAGTGAGCAATCCTGCACACAAGGTACTTCAACACTCAGTGTCTGGATCCCCTGTGGTGACATGGACATTGTGGGGCTCACTGCATTACAGGACTGCTGTGAAGGTTAAATGACGTAAGTGTATGTACAGTTCTTAACCTGAGAGGGGGCCTGAGTGAAACAGCTGGTGGATCTTGGGTGCTCAATCTATGCTGGCCTCTGTGCTAAGGCCTTAGCTGGAGTTATTTTGCTGTCATTATGACGCTCTGAGGGGTACAACCATTGACCCACTTTACAGACAAAGAAACTGAGGCACAGAGGAATAGTTGCTTATCTAGTCACAGAGCTACTGACTGGTGGAGGGGGTCTCAAACCAAATGTATCCTTAAAATGGTCATGCCTGCCTGTCTAGCCACTGTTCAGGACCACAATGGGGAGAAAATGGGTATCCCCAGGGACTCTACCCCCAGGTCCCCAGCCTATCTTGGACAGGCACATGATGTCCTGTTTTCCACCTTCTCCTGAGTGACCAAGGAGGAAAATGGCTCAGATGCTCCTGCTCCATTTTACCCAGCCCTGGTGCCCAGAAAACAGAAGCCAAAGGCAGGAAGGAGTAAGGGGGGAGACTTCCCCTGCCTACATGCTTCTCTACCCTTTCAGGGAGAGCAGATCCACGTCACACTCAGGGGATTCTACCATAGACACCCCCAAAGAACTCACAGCATGCTGGTAGACAGAAAAATGGACAGAACACTATGGGGCTCCATTGGGTCTAGGATCTGTGTTTGTTTTTTGAGACAGGGTTTCTCTGTGTAACAGCCCTGACTGTCCTAGAACTTTTTGTAGACCAGGCTGGCCCTGAACCCACAGAGATCTGCCTGCCTCTGCCTCCTAAGTGCTGGGATTAAAGGCATGTGCCGCCACGCCCAGCTTCAGGTCTAGGATCTTAAGCTCCTCTAATGAGTTCAGGGGGGCCTTAGGGTGTGGCACACGGGCACATACACAGTCACTTTCAGCTGTTTATCTGGACAAAGGCCTCAGAGGCCTGTGTAAAGCCAGGGCTGGGGGTCTTTCCCCCCCCCCAGGACCTATTATCAGATGCATTTCACAGATAGGACAAGTGTCTTGCAGAAGATCATCTGACAAAAAACACCTGCCAGAGAAGGGGCCCTGATTTCCATAGCTACTGCCCTGTAGACCTCACATCCCACCCTCCAGCTTACACTCTGGGACCAACTTCATTTCTTAATCAAAATCACATCTCTTTCCAGGACAGTATGAGTCTTCTCCCAGACTCATGTTCATGACTCTCTGTAAAGAGCATGTCCACGTTCAAGACACAAGGACAGAGGGCAGCCATACAGGAAGGCTGTTTCTCACCAGGGTTCCAAGTGTGGACAGAGTGGGTCATGTCATCCCTGGCCCCACACACACATGCACACACACACACACACACACACACACACACACACACACACACACACACACACAAGGCATCCTGCCTCCCTCCAGAATAGAGGGAAGGAGTGTTCGAGAATGATGTGCCCAGCCCCAGTAAAGCTGCTCCCAGCTCAGGGCCCAGGGACACATTTCCTACTTCCTCCTCTGTAAAACATGGGTGGCCATAAGCACTGAAAAACAATTCCTGCCTTGCATGGCATGGGAATGAATTGTCCTGCAACATGCATGCATTCCCACGGGCCTGTCTGGCTCTCAATAATCTGAGTGAATCCTCTCAGACAAGCATATAGCTGTCCATTCTCTCAGCCACAAGCCCTGTGCCATTAGAGCCTCGGGCGGAGGCAGTCAAAGGAAGCCATCCTCTCCTTTGGAAACCCCTTCCTTGTCATGAGGACAGCAAAAACAGCAAAGCCATCCGGAAAAAATGCCCCAAAGGCTTGGGTATGCTGTCCCCATAGATAACAGTCTGGATTGTTGGCCTCTCTGCCCAGCAGCTGCCAGCAATTCTAATAACCAGCTCCTACAGAAATCAAATGGTCTGTCCTCGTGGTGGATCCTCAGTGTCTGTGCTGGCCTGGCAGCACCTGGCACTCCCTGGGAACACCTTCTCCAAGGGGCCCACTTAGGATTTCTTCTGCTCGTCCTAGATGTTGGCCCAACCTCTGCCCTCCCGCCCTCCATGCCCTCCCTTCGGGGCACACTGGCCAACCACCAGCCCTAACCTGTCCTGGCCACCTGCTCACCTTCCAGGCAGGAATGCTGTTTCTCCCATGGCTTTCCTTCAGGGCATCTCAGGACCGACTCCCCTGGGAAAGATCACCACTGGGACATCTCTACTTCCCCTGGCTTGCTTTGCCCTGTCCCCAGGTGTCTGGCTTCTTGTTCACCTCCCTGACTGTCGTACCAGTTCCAGGAGATCAAAGACAGGTCCTTGTATGCAGACCAGGGCAGGTGCCGTGGGCATGTGGCTATGTCTTCAGAACAAGAATGAGGAAAACAGTGGAGGATCCCACTCATGAACAGTTCTGCTCTGCCCAGTGCTCATAGACACATCTAAATCACCTGCATGGTCATAGGATGATGATGATGATGATGATGATGATGATGATGATGATGATGATGTGTGTGTCGCTATCTGGGGAATAAGCCTGGCCTTCTACTCCAATGTTCATCCTGCCTCTGATTGATGCCCTTTCTAAGGAGTCAGAAAGAACTGTGCCCATGGGTATCAGGATAAGCATTTGTGGTAGCAGCCATGGGCAGGAAGTCAAAAGGCACAGGGGGGCATTCTGCCTGAGCCCTGTCCACAGTCTAGGCAATCAGTCAATTGGAAAGAGGCCTATCACTCAGGCTATGAGCCACAGAGTAGAGCCCAGGCCCAAGAGCTGTGCCCTTAAACTGGCCTCTCTCTTCAGCACCATTTGTCCCAAGATACACATTGCTGACAACTATAATAGCGATGGTTATAATGGCCAGTGCCAGCTGCATGTCTGCCAGGTATCACACAGTAGAGGTAAACACCCACCTGCCCTGGAGGTGATAGACGGCGGATATCACCCCAATCAGACAGGAAGAAGCTCAGCAAGGACAGGGACCTTGTCTCCAGGAGAGCTACGGGGAAAGGCTGGAACCTTACATGCCATCACACACACACACATCTGCCCTTCCCCTGCCCAGGTACCCGTGGACTTCTGGCTGAGCCAAAAGCATCGATTTGAGGCACAGGACTCCAGGAACCATTCCCATGCTGAGAATAGGACACTGAGTTCACGGCCCCTCCCACCTGTCCGGGAGCAAACATTGATCGGCTGGCAGAGCTGGCAGCTGACTGCTTCCCTGGGCAGGGCTAGGCCCTACTCTTGCTTCCCTGGAGCTGTGGCTGTGAGGAGCAGCTGTTAGTGTCCAGGACACAGCAGCCAGGGGGCGGGCTGATGGCCAAGGACTTTCTACCATGCTTGAGGAAAACTCATAGGCATCAA